GATCCAGCCTGTCCAGGTCCCTCTGCAGAGCCTTCCTACCCTCGAGCAGATCAACACTCCTGCCCAACTTGGTGTCGTCTGCAAACTTACTGAGGGTGCACTCGATCCCCTCATCCAGATCATTGATAAAGATATTGAACAAGACCGGCCCCAAAACTGAGCCCTGGGGAACACCGCTCGTGACCGGCCGCCAACTGGATTTAACCCCATTCACAACTCTCTGGGCATGTATTTCTCTCATATATGTGGTATCACTGTCATAGTAAAATCCTAAAGTTAAATCCCAAACTGCTTTAGTTCTGGACCTTAAGAACAAATGTTCTGAGAGACAAATTGGAACTAGCTTGCCTGGGGAAGTTGAAAGTCTCTATCCTTGGAGGCTTCCAGGATTCAGCAAATGAAGCCAAGCTCACCTGATCCAGTGTTGGCAATAATCCCACTTCAAGCTGGAGGCTGGACCAGGTTTAGGCTAACAGAGATCCTCCGGAGAGCCCTCCCAAGCACCATTCCTATTGTTCTATGAATTCTAACATGTTTCAATCATTAAAACAGCCCTAAGATTATAAAGACTACCATTAAGTATTGTATTTGAAAAGCATTAACCCTCACAAAAAAACCTGCTCAATATGGCAGACCAAAATGGAAAGCTTAAAACACCCTCACTCTTACATCATGATACCACACTAGGAAAAAAAATAATCAAACACACTATTCAAATGAAGTGATGCAGCATCCCAATATTAATCAAAGGACAAGAAAATTCAGTCACAATTGAATTGCTTTATTGATATCAACTCATCTTTAATCAGTATTCAGTTTCATTTTAATTCCAACAATGATTACAACAAAAGATAAGCTTTTAGTGCAGAAATGCTTATTAAATGATCTCGGACATGATGCAGCCAACAGCCAGCTAGTCTGGACAAAGAGAACTGAGAAGGCTGTAATGCACATCAGCTTGTAGGAAACAACAACACAGCACGTACTGCTATCACTTGGATCCCAACACTCCATCTTAAAAACAGCAAAGCAAGAAGTTAAGCAGTTCATGCAGGAGGAAATAAAAAGCCACATATGCTAAGGAAATTCATAAGCTAGCTTGTTAACCCAGTAGAACTTAATGAATTACAACTGTGTCCGAGAACTGGCAAAGCAGGGTTTAAATTAAAAGTTAATGGAAAAGATCCTTTGACAAACCTTGGACCAAATTTCAGTTGGATTTAGTATCCAACTTACTATCCTGGACATACCTATAGCTCTGAGTCCAACCCTCACCTGCTTCACGCATTCATCTGTCAAAACTGTCTGCTAATGAAAGCAAGGATACCGGTGTAAGTAAGGAGCATCTTGTAACCTGGAATACACATGGTCATGCTCAACTCTTCAAATGAGTAATGACCGGCTTGTAATACAGAACAAACCCCTTTAATTGTGCCTCTAGTTCTTAGAGAAACAGATAAACAGTTACTTCCTTTTTCCAAAGACACTGAGCATTTAATAGATTAACAGATAGTCTGTGTCCTATGACTACAAGCACAGAGGCTTAAGTATCAGAAAGTCTAAAAACTGTCAAATTATGTTGTCTACACTGTCTACATGACATACAAACAGCAGCCAGCCTAGTCACACTTTTTTCCTTCTAAACAGGGGAAGTGTCAATAGAATTCTTAAATAGCAGCTGGAGGTCTGTGTTAAAGAGGGCGCAGAAACGCAGAGGGAGTACACAGTTAAACCAAGATAAGGAATCTGTTTTTTTCCAAAATTAGAAATTGAATATAGAAATTAATAAAACAAACTCTGATTAGAATTCTAGAGTTTACCATTTAGAGACTGGTGCTGTTAAAAACAAGGTTTCTGAAATGATTTGGGGTATTCTGACTTCCTGGGGAATAGAGTTTGCCTGACTTCTTTTCAGAAGTTTACTATAATACCTATGCTTAGGAAAATGTTAACCAGTAAGCTGCTTTTTCACTCAGTCTGTCCATTGACTCAGCAATTTGTATCTGAACAAAAGATTAGTTCCTTCTCTATGTATTCACGTGATCCTTTAACAAGCGAATTAAAAAAAAATCCTAACAGGTTTAGACACACAGAACACCACCTAGATAAAATTTGCAACATTCACGTCTCTGGGAAGCAAAATAACAAGGATTAAACAGACTAACCACACAACACGCAGAAAGGACAACTGGCAAGACTTAACAGATCTGCTGCTTAGGATAAGAGAACAAAGAGGTTTGAGAAGCCAGTTACTGCACAAGCAATCCTCAGTGCAAGCTTCTCAGAGCTTACTACAGGGGTTTGCACACAACCAGTTTAAGGTTACCTTCATTTACTGCTTCATGGTACCACGCTTGCATATTCGTGAAAGAGATTTCCACTGGTTTAGCTAAATTTATACACATCCTTCGGATCAGTTAAGCTAGTGCAACATCTTGTGTGGACACTTGTATTGCCTTAGAGTAGAACTTAAAAAAGGTGCATGTGCGTTTTCCTGCAGTAGTTTAAATGTGTTAATTTAAACAAATAAACATTTAGTTGCTTTCCAATTTTTTTGATCGATGACTTCTCCACACCACCTCCAAAATTTATTAGGAGGAAGGTCAATGCATTTCAGGACAATCAACCTTTACAGATCGCATTTCCAAACAAACAGTTCTCTTCCATCGCTAGAAGCTCCAAACATACACCCTTCTTTCCAGTGAAACCAGCTCAGGTTTTAAGCCTCTATCTTGTCCCAAGAAAAAGTGACGGGCCAGAGAGAAAGGCTTCATAGACCAGATTCAGCTTACGATCACCGAGTGAACAGTGCTTATTTTAGAACAAAAATTTCCATGTAAATGCCACATTTCCCCTATAAGGAATATTACTTTAGCAGTACATAGAAAATCACTGACAAAGGATCTAAACACTATCATTTGTTCAACACTGCAACTTAAAGACAACATATTTGAGATTTCTCTCTGAAATTCATCACCATATTGAATAGAGCAAACATTACAGCTAGATGAAATTGCACATTTTTGAAAGCAATGATACTATTTTGCTTCTCCTAAAGTCCAAAAAAAAAAAAACATTTCTTCAGCTTTGCGTTTATCCAGCCCCTTCTGGGATTTAAATACGGCATCTCCATTAAGTCAATCCTACTGAGAGAGGTTTAATGAAGTTTAGTGTGATGCACATGCTCCTATGCCAATGTCAGATTCTTTGTTAGGTTCTACTGGATTTGTTTGTCCCTCTTCTTTTAGCTTCACCTGTCTAAAGTCTTCCCTGACTTCTTCTAGCAGACTTGGCTTGAAAATGACATCCAGTGCTGTCATTGCCAAAGCTTTTGCTGTGCGCAAAGCATAGAACTGAGCATTCTGTGACCCTGCAGAAAGAGAGAGAGAGAAACTTCAGGTTAGATTACTAATATTAGATACAAACCACTGGCTTACCACATAAGGCATATGCTATAAAATAAGTTCTTCAAGTTTCAATTGCAAGAACAGTTTCTTAAAAATCTACTTGCATGAATGAAGTATGTCTATTTTCTGATGCCTCAAAACAAATTTTCACATGAAAGTACTTAACTTTCTGCTACTGATGTAAAAAATAAGACTGAAAACAGGAAAATGAGTGTTCACATTTTCCTTTTTAGAAAATGCAGAGTTTTATACTGTTGTCTCTATTACATTTCCAGAGTATTGTACTTTAGAAGTAAAAATTACTTTCATCTTTTGGCTCATGTTTAGAAACTCTTCTGAATATGCTGCTAAGGATAATCCTTCTAATTTCTTCTGTCTAGATGGTATACTAAGTCAGGCTTTTAGTACGAGGAGTGGTCATCCTTCCCATATAGATTTAACTTTAAACACAAACACAGAAATTCTACATTTTGTCAACTTTTTTCTGCAATTCTACGATTAACTAAGTAAACTGTTTCAGGGGCTGTATTCAGCTCAGATCCCATCACACTTGAAGAAAGCAACTCCATTTCTATACAGGTATTCACACACAGCCACTTTCAGATCAAGTACTTACACTTTGATACATTTACTACACAGTAGCTTTGAATACCATAGAAGCATGTGAAAGCTTTAATCCTCTGTAATTTGAAATATTTATCATTTCTAGATTTGCTGTAGCGAAGAGTCAGCAACCAGTCCCTACAATGCAGACGGGTTCCAAATATAAATCTCTAACGCTTTTCACTTCCACTCACCTGCAGCTTCTGTGTACTGCTCAGTATGATTCAATGCATCAGAGCCAATATAAAAATAAGGATGAAGTCCAGGGACTACAAATGTAACATTTCCAAAGTCCGTGGAACCTAGAAGCAGCACAGAAATTTTCTTAATGAACAAGTGTTGAAGAGTTTTGAATGCTGTAAGAAAATGTATGATAGATATTATCTCCAGCCCATATCTAAAACAGAATATCCTTTGCCCCAAATACTAAAATAAAAGCATTTCTAATGAGTCATTCATTATCCATACAAAAATTTCCCATCTCCGAGATGTTTTCCCTAACTAGCCATCTTCAGATGCTGCTCTCCAGTGCACTTCTGATCAATAATCAGTTACTGGACTGCAAGGAAGACGTATCAGCATGTTCCTATTCCATTTACTACTAATTTTTTATCAAGCATCTCCTGATAGTAAGCTGTTAATTCAGAAACAATTAAAGCTGCAAACCTTGGAGTTTCAGGCAGTCCAGCTATTTTCCTGCTACAGCCCTTAGAACCAGGCCTAACAGTTACCGCTGTTCACCAGTATGCAAATATTCAGCATTAGGTAGAGGACTCTGAAGTAGGAACAATCTATCTTTAAACAAAAACAGATGGAGGACAACTATTTTTTCCCATGCTTTTTGATTATTCTCAGTTATGGAAACCTTAACAGCTCAAGCACTCTTGAAATAAGATCAGAACTAAACTCCAGACAAAACACTAGTGCTTTGTAGACATAAAAAAAATCTTGATAGCAATGCGGCAGATTTTAATGATGATTCTTTCATGTCTGACTAGCACTTTCAGTATGTTAGCTAGTGATAGTACCTATCTCAAAGTACTGCCTTACTTACTTAACGATACCATCCAGAAGTAGTAGATCCTTCATAGTAAATAATCCAAGAGTCTGCAACTACTTCCCGAGAGCTTTTTTTTTTTTTAAACCCAAACAAGCAATCCACTCAGTATTTGTTAAAATGACATTTAGAAGCCGGAGAAATCAACGTGCCACTTATTGTGAAATTCAGATACCAGAGGAAGCGTTGTTTCATAGCGGGGAAAAATAGGGATGACCAGCTAAGACCTCAATTAATTTTTTTCAGGCCAGAGCTGTAAGAATTTTTCTTTAGCAATGGCATATAAAATGACTGTTCCAAAGATTTAAAATTACTTGTAACACATCAGGTAGCCTCCATATCATGATACTTTATGGAGACAAGATATTGCTAATGCCTTAAGACTTAGTAATGAAATGATTGCAGAATACAGATTTCACTTGGAAGCATATAGTTATTAAAAGTGAGTCCACAGAGCCTACATTATGTGATCAAAGAGGACAAGACTAGCTTGCTATTTGCTCTGCCTACAGACAAATGGAAGCAGTAAGGCTTGTCCAAAAAAAAAAAAAAAAGGTATTTTCCCATAAATTCAGTATGCATTTGAAGAAAATCCAACTCTTGGCACAGTAACAAGTTATTTTAATTTTCAGCAGTCTACACTGTTGATCCATGCTTTGGTCAGTCTGGAAAGACAAATCAGAAGTCTAGAAGTTCTGCCTACTCCAGACTAAACCAAGAATTCTAGACTTGCCTTACTAAGTCCTAATACACAAGCTGCTGGAAAGACTGTGTTGGCCTTTTTCCCTGCTCTCAGCCAGCAAATGAAGCATCAGCAATTTCAGTGCATCCCAGCTCTCAGTCATGTAATTCCACCTAAAATTATATCCATATCCCATCTACTACTGGTTTACAAGTTATTTTTGCTGAATGTAAGGGATTTAAACTTGGCATTTTCTAGTAAGATGAAGAGCTGACCAAACCAAAATCCAGACAGCTTTTAATAAAAATGTGACAGTCAAATTTTCCCCTCTATCATACCTAGCAGCATGTTTAGAACATCAGGTGTTCCAATAGTTTCCATACAAACATCTGGAACTGTATGCTGGCTAGAGATGTACAGATCGGGTTTCCTTCTAGAAGCATAAAAACCATCTTCCCCTCTGTCATACCTAGTGGCATGTTAAGAACATCAAGTGTTCCAGTAGTTTCCACACAAACATCTGTAACTGTATGCTTGATAGAGATGTACAGATCAGATTTCCTTCTAGAAGCATAAATAATTGCACAGTCATCAATGCAATATACAGACTTGCGCACTATCTTCAATAGAAAGGTACTGGGAGTTCCAGGCTGTCAAAAAAAATCCTGAAGCTGATACTGAAGCCTCTTCAAGTCACTGAACACGTAATGGAAGCCAGTATTACCACAAACATAAATGGAGGGGAAAATGCAAGAGATTCCAGGAAGCGTTTATATACAGCCCCAAGCTTCAAAAGTGGTATTTTCAAAACATACTGGCTCCTTCTTATGATAATCTATATCAGTCTTGTGCACAGGAAGCCAATGAACCCCATGAATGCTAAAAATATCGAAGTAAGTTATTGCAAGTGCGGGTGCCTCAACTAAGGCATGCTAAACTAAGCCATCTGCTTTGGGAGGTTATCGATATCCTGTAGTAGAGCTATCCTACCAGCAGAAGGAGAAACAGGTCATGGCACCTGGTCAAAGCTAACCCAGGTTCACATTATTTCACATCATCCTGGCTATGTGCCAAACGAGCAGAGCGTGCACAAGGCACACACAAGGTAGTGTGAGTTGATGGACTAAAGGAATTCTTCGTAATGCTTAGCTGCCTAGAGCAATACCTGTAAGCAGACCGATACTAATACCCATGTAGAGGTGGCAGCGAGTATGCTCATCTGTTAACGACTTTTCTGCTGCACAGACATGGAGAAGCAACTGAGCTATCTTCCTTCCCTTTCAACAGAAGAAACTGATATCCTAAAAGAAAACATTGAAAACCATATGAAAACTAAACAGAAATAGAGGTCTTGAAAAAGATGAGACAAAACACTCAACCCCTCCCAAAAAGGGTAGCATACAAAATTCCACTCCTATGTCTCTGGAGACTGGGCTTTGTTATCACTCCCGAATTCCCACTGCAAAAATTCAGAGAAGCAGCTGTGGAAAGAAAATTCAGTAAGGCCTACTACAGTGTGCAATAAAATGTGATTGCTCAAGCACATGTTGACATTCGACAAGCAATTTAAGGACAGGACAGGCATATGGAGAGTTTCAGTTTAAGCAAGTTAATGTTTAACATTTAGCATATCATATAACTTACATATGAAAGCACTATTACAATTAGGGGTCTGTACTAAGTTCATTCAAAGTCGTCTGAACCAGCACGATCACCTGTATTCATCATCTTCACCCTTAATACAACAGTTTGAGAGAAGCAACGCAGAGCTCCAAAAGTTTCACTACAGTAAACATTCTAAATAAGGTTCCTCAGCACCTTTCTTAGGCTAAATGAGTAAAGTAGTAAGTCTTACTTGTACCACACTGAATAAAGAAAAAAAGAAATCTGCCTTTAGTTATAATTTGTTTTTAAACCCAAGATAATGAACCGATTGGAGAAAATACGCTAGCGTTGCCTTAATTTGGAAGGGGAGAAATAAGAGAAAAACAACCAGAACACCATTAGATATGCTGTCTCCCCCACACAAATGAAAGTTTGGAGAACTCTATCCCCAAACGCCAAGATCTCAACTATCCAAAAATAATCTGTATTTAATATAGAGAAGATTAGTACCGCAATCAAACTATTTGGAATAACAATTTTTTTACTGAAAACAATCTTTTCCTTCTAACCAAAGAGAAAAACCTTTAACATGAGTGGAGTAAAAACGTTTATATGTAGTTATGATCAGTAGTGAAGGCTATAAAGTATCAGCAGCAGTTATAAGACTTGAACAGAGCTCCTGTAGGAAGATTCTGGAAAAAAACTGTTAAGGGTAATGAGAAACCCCCCTGACCATTCAAGAATTCACATTCCTATTACTATACCTCTGAGAGACCAAGTAAGTGAAATAGTTTGAGACATAGTCAGGACCGAGAAGTGAACACCTACTTGAATGGCACTCTTTGGAAAACTAATCTGTTGAACTCGTGAACTAAAATTAGAGGCACAGAATTACCTGTTAATGGAAAGAGGTTTAAATTAGGGTTACTGAGATGCTTAAACTTCCGCTTAAAAATCTCTTCAAAAACTCCAAGATATTAGTTAGATGCTAGTACATTTGTTCATATGTAAGCTTGGGAAATAGTTAAACAAGGTTTGTAAAAACTAAATCTCATCTTTGTTCATAACATTAACCAGGATTCTGTAATTCAAAGCAACAGAATGAGCCATAAATCATTCCACATCCTCATGTTCTCAGTAAGACAGTTCTTATCTTTCCATCCTCCCATCCCTCCCCCCAACCAAACTGTTTCTTACTTGAAATAGTTTCAGAAATATTATCAGAAAGTGATTACTGCTTTCCATACCGGTTGGGAAAATTTCTCAGCTTCTACAACAAATACAGAAACACAGGCCAGAGGTACAATCCTTTTACAGAGCTTCCATTTTTTAATTTGGCTTTTTTCTTCTGACCAGACTATGTTTAACCTACCTCTGTCCCATTATTTTATACACTTAAGAGTTGATCAATGTAAGCTTAAGCCATAACAAAAAAACCCAGATCGAGTTACCTGACAAACCATTCAAGATACAGTCTTCTGATATGAACTCTATTCCAAGCTTCTTTCCATTCTCCTTGTAAACTTTCTGCAGGCTCTTATTTGGAAGCACATTGTAGTAATCATTTTCACTACCTTTTATTTCCACCTAGACAAAAAAAACCTCAAATGACTGGAAATTTTTCACCAACCTAAGCCAGTTTAATGTAAACAATTTAAAGCCCGGAAAAGTTAAATACATGTTCATACTTCAAGTCCATGTCAAAACAGACATAAGTGCTAAGTTTCTTTCAAAAATGTAACATTCTGCCAAATATTAGCCTTGATCAAAACACAGCTGGTGTTCTGTCAAGCTTGCACTAGACAGCCAAATTCCAGAAGCATGGATTTCACAGAGAGCATCTCCAAAAATAGTAAGCATTTCCTGTAACAGCTTCTAATGATTTCCACTGCAGGTACTATTAAACAACATAGAAATCAATTCAGTCTTTCACCAAATTCTAGTTTACTATTTTTGTTTAGAACACTTCCAATAACTACAGCCCCATTCATGAAATGACTTCACACAGGCAAGAAGCTTGAAAACAGATGTAAAAATCGTACCAATGTCAAGTTTCAAAAGAGGTCTTAACTTTCATTCTGCATAAAGTACACTTTCTGAAATCCTTTTCTAGTTACAGTGGAGGGGCCATACTAGGAAAAGAGCACCTAATGCCTCAAACAGACCTTAAAACTCACTAGCTCACATTCATATACACTATACATATTTGTTCTGATGAGCACAGACATTCTTTTCACAGCTGTATTAGCCATCGATCTCTAACTACAGAGCAGGTAGAACCACCTATCTTAGCAACACATCGCAAGGTAATCATATTGCTGGAACCAGCTACAGGAGAGACTTCCACATACTAAAAGCAAAAAAAATAAGAATGCTAACTGAAAAATTACTGTTTTTCACATTTGGTTGCTACATGAGCCTGCTGTTCAATGGGGCAAAGGAAATAGAGCAATGCTCCTGCACACTGAAAAAGAGCTAAAGCTCACATACATCTTGAAGGGCCAGGAGGAGGATCTGGGAAATTACAGACTGGTCAGACAGTCCTATCCTCAAGCTCCTAGGGAGATTATAGAGCAAATAAATCCTCCTAAGACCCATGTCCAGGCACATGAATCACAAGGTGATTGTGACTATCCAGCATAGATTCACCGAAGAGCAGATGGTGCATGACCAAGCTTAGCTTTTCATGATGACAGGTCTGGCTCAGTGGACACAAAAGATATTCAGGCTCAAAGTATTATGATCAGTGGCACAAAAATCCAAATTGCTGCTTGTTACTTGTAGCATCCATCTGCAATCAATACTGGTGCCATTACTGTTTTAGTATCTTTATTATTGATGCAGACAACTCCTGTGAGACCACATCTGATGTATTATGTTCAGTTTTGTGCTCCTGAACTCAAGACTGGAGCAAGTCCAGGGGAAGATGATTAGGGTGCTGGAGAACATGACATACAAGGAAAGGCTGAAAGAACTTGGTTTGCTGAGCCTTCAGAAAAGAAGGTTAAGCTGTCTACAGCTACCAGATGGAGAGGGTAGAGAAAAGACAGAACCAGAATTCTCAGAGATGCCCAGTGATATGATGAGAGGCAACAAAGGAAATTCCTATTAGATACAACAAAATCACAGAAGTTGGTTAAAGTTGGAAAGCACCTCTGGAGGTCATCTTCTCCAACTCCCCTGCTCAAGCAGGGTCACCTAGAGCTGGTGGCCCAGGACCGTATCAATGCAGCTTTTTACTATCTCCAAGGATGGAAACACCACAATCTCTCCAGGCAACCTGTTCCAGTACTCTGTCATCACAGTATAAACATCAGGAAAAGCCTCGTTCACCATGAGGTGGGTAGAGCACTGCTGAAAGAGGCTGCAGACTTTCATCCTTGGAGATACTCAGAAGTCGACATGGCACTGAGCAATCTGCTCTAATTGGTGCTGCTCTGAACAGAGGATTAGACTAGATGACCTCTGGAGGTCTCTCCCAACCTAGATTATTCTGTGATTCTGTGACAGCATTCTATTTATAAAACAAAGCTTTCTTTCAGGACACAAAGCAACAGAATAGCAAATAGTATCATCGACATTTTGATTTCTTTCAGCTAAACACCATGCAGACAAATGCTGTGAGCCTCAATTTCCTATTCTGGCCTACCTTATTCTCCAGCGTAATAGAAACATGACCATGAATACATTCTTACTTTGCATCCTGTGGCCAGCGCTGCAGATTTGAAGCAGTTCTCAACCTTCTCTGTCAGAACAGAAAGATCTTTCATTGAAGGGGCACGCAAGTAAAATTCTAGTTCAGTGTAAGAAGGAATGATGTTAGGTTTCACGCCACCATTTCTTATTACACCTGCAGAAAGGGAAAAGTCATGTTACCAGTGTTAAATACAAATGCTTCATCTTCAGCCCTGTCATGAAACTCCTTGCTCAAGAGCTAAATATGTAAACAAAAAAACAACAAAACATCAACTGAGCATGAAATACATAAAGAATGTAAAAAATACAGTATGTGGACAAAGTTTCTTAATCACGTCAGATTAAGTGGAATGTGTACATGTTTTTCAGCACGATTTCATTGCATTCTTTGGTTATCTGTTATAAACCTAAAGATAAGCCAAACTAGCATTTGTAATTAATCCCCTGAAATTCAATGCAGAGTCATAAAGCAATCTGGCTGCCATTGAAAAAGAAAAAAATTTGTTATAAAGGCTACCTTGGATTCCAACTTTTAAAGGTTTCCTCAACTACAATGTTTCCAACTTATTTTGCCAACTTGGAGAGAAGTTGAGTAAGTTGCATTTCTCAGGAATATTGGAGTAATGTGTGTGTTGCAGTGCACAGAAAGTTCATTAGATTCCTCATACTAATTCCTTAGGAATATTGGGGTGTATAACATACGTACAGTTTTATTCAAGAGTGAAGTTTGAGTTGAAAGTGTTCCCTCAAGGAAACGTGTGACAACTACATAGTTTTCAATTATGGCCTCAGAGGCATTACCATAAAAGACTAATATTTAGACATTTCAACAAAAAAACATTGTAGACCTCAATTCTACATTAGATTTCAATGCATTAACAGCTCGTTGCTTTCAGCAGGCTGCTTGTTTCCCCGGCCTCCTATCCTCAATTTATATATGTGGAATAAGATTTGTTTTCTGTAGAACCTGAGAAACGATCTACCTTAAATAGAAACACTGCACAAAGTTACTGACGTGTGTCACTGAAGCCTGAAAAGACAGCACTATCAGGATGCAAATAGGCAACGAATCTTTACTTTTGGTGCAGAAAACCTATTAAGACTGTGAATTCCCCCCTCAAGTAAAACCTTTCCAGTCTCCAATACAGTCAAAGTAAACAGAGTGCTGAATTAAACCACTATCAGTACTAGGCCATAACAAAAGGAACAGCTCAGATGAGAGGGACAGACATCATAGAAAAGGAACCAGCAAATCAGCAACTAAGTAATCGTGCAAATTTGCATGACATCATAACACGTTTGCTCAGAACAAGTAGCTTAATGAGCTTTCATTTGTCTTCCAACACATTTGTAAATGGAACTGGATAGAGTCCAAGAGTATGTATACACTTACATTTCAAAGCAACTGTAATATGGACTGGACAGCAGATCTTATTAGTACACACTACTAATAGCACCTAGGTTACCCTGCCCTAGCATTTCTAGATGGAACTTTTTTTTTACAGCCTGTTTAATACAATTTCTTGAACAGAAAAAAAATCTACATTCTTATTTTTCAAAGGGGCAACATTTACCCCACTCATAAGCAAGGAAAAACTTATCAAATATTAGACAAACTCAAACCAACATTGTTCAAGTACATAAAACATTGCTTAGAAATTCTAGACTTCAAATAATGGAAACTATTTCAGTTCTTGTTAGTGGGTTAACGCTAAGACTTTTAGGATCACTTAAGTCAGTCATGGCTGTTACTGCAAGCCTGCAACACAAGACCTCCAACACACTGTTGTAAAGAAAGCATTCCTAAAATTAAATCTTATTCTGGCTGCTTATAGTTTCCCAAAGGTATTTATTTTATGTATTTCCAGTTTGAAAACCAGGTTTATGACAGCAGTTGTATCAACACACTAACTTAAGTTTTGCTGTGGTTTGGGAAGCGTTACCTCTAGGAGGCTTGTTTAGATACTTAGTTTTTTGCCTACATTACCCATGTAGCCTTTAGAAACTATGAAGAAAGCAGTATTTAGGGTTTTAGGCTTAGATCCTATAAAAGACTCATGCACCTCCAATCTTAAACGTGCAACACATGAGTTTCAGACACCAAAACTCATCATTAAGTGCCTTGTTTTCTACAGAGCAATAGGATAGAGAGCTAAGGCTATGCCCACTGTCTGAAATTCATTTGGGTATGCTGCACAGCAGAACTGCAAACATCTTCATCTACAGTCAAAAGGGTTAGGGCTTCCAGACTCCATCCAGACATCCTGGAGAGAAATACACACATATATTATACAGCACAAGCAGCCAAGGCATATAATGATCATTACTCAGAACTTCTGGAAGTGTTTTAAGCTCCTAACAAGTATTCCAAATAAACAGTTCTACATTCAGAAGTCCTGTAGAAATGGTGAAGTTTCTTAATTTCAACTTGGAAAAAGTTGCGTTGGATGTAATAAGGGAAACCTGGGTTTATAGCTAAAGGGCAGCTTCCATCTCAACTTCTGAAACAAAAAGAAATGCATGATGTTGAAGGAGTATGAGTCAAGCTTAATGGTTAATATGTCTTATTGCAAAATGGCCTTTCTACTTCAAGGTCTACTACATATTAAATATTAGAATCCAGCACACATCTAGTTGATTGGGCTACTAACCAGAACTACAGGCTTCTGCCATCACTTGTTTTTTGTACTTCAGCAAATAAACTTCAGTCACTCTAGACCACTACACTCTTCCATGGAATGTCTACTACAAAAACGATGCAGTAAGTAATACTTCATTTTTCAGAAGCATTTAATCTTACACCTAAAACCACGTACATTAACTTTAAGGAATTCAAGGCCATGTACCAAAATAAACTTAGAACTCTTTCTTTCTGAACTGCAACTTCAAGTGCAAAGACTTAAAATTTGTCTAGGCTCTACCTATGTGCCAGTGTCCTTTTTTGAATCTGACCCATAAGCCTATTTTCAGAAGTTAGTTCTGGACACTGACATGATTTTAAAGATTACAGACAAACTATTTAAATGAAATGGTGCTATTTCATAGTATTTGAAGTGACTATACTAATTTAGTGCAAGAACGCAGTATTTTAAATTGTGGGATTTTGTAAGTTAGTATTTTAACAGCCTAAACTCTTACTTGCCAGACATTAGATTTAATGAAGATCTCACCATGAACTCTCCAGGTCGGTTTCATTTGCTGTCTTAAAACAGACAGATTGTTGTATGCAAGAACAGCAGCATCTAATGCATTAACTCCTTCCCAAGGATAAGCAGCAGCATGAGAAGCTTTTCCATAGTATTTCACAGTCACACTAGGAAATAAAAGGCATTGCTTATTTGTTTTTCATCCACTGAAAAAACCTCTAAAATAAAAAGTTCCTTTTATTCACACAAATATTTGTTATTTAAGTTTTGTGCAGCAGAACACCAAACAATTTACCTGGCACTACACTGTTGCAAAGTTGAACTATCTTTGAGTGCAGGAAGATGCTGAAAGATTTCTAGAAAACCAATGAAATGAAACAATATCAAGACCCAATCAGGCAAAAGAGCTACCAGTAACATACCACTATACAGCCTTTTCCTGAGAAGTACAGGCTTCACATACTAATTAAATGTTTCCAACACTTTTTTTATACCTCCTGACTGTTCTGAGACTTAAAGTTACTAACATTCTTCTCAGAGGGTAACAAACCCTTTTCTCTGATTCAAAATTAGAAGTTGACTGTCCTAATTCTTGTCAAACTTCAATAAAATATGTACGGTATATAAGACAGCAAAAGCACATTACTAAGATCACATACAAGCCATGCCTACATAACAAAAGTCAAGTTTTAAAAGTGCAGTAAAGGCATAGCCTAGTATAAAATATATGTTAACATGCTACAGCAAGGATGTTCCCTGCACACCTCAGAATGCTAGTAGAAAGGCTTGCAACAAGGAAGAAACAAGAAAGGTTACCCTCCAACTTCGTAGAAGTCATAAAATACTGCACCTAAAGACATCCAGTAAGAATTCATGCTTGGCTTCATCTTATGAGGGGCATTTATATTAGCCTTACAAAATGATTTAGTATTTCAAATTATATGAAAACTCTTTACATGAGAGGCAAGTATTAAATACTGACAGCTACATAAGGTATTACTACTTATCAAATACATAAGTATTAGGTTTTTATCAATATTAGAGATTTTAACTAAATCTGTTTGTACTCAATACCCAGTCCTTTACATAAAAAACTCCACCCTCAAGCTTCAAGAGTTCTCCCCTGAGACACACAACCTGTCTCTCACCCAGCTAGGACCAGCCTAACTTGCTTGTCCCTCTGTCTTGCACAGATGCCAACTTAGCCACTTATCCTGAACTGACCCCTCATGGTCTGAACCATACCACAGCTGTAAGTTAATACCAGAACTTAAATACCGGATAGCAAAGAGGGACACAATGGAGTCTACTGTTGCAGCAGAAAACGTCTCCTGCTACTGCCTGCAATCCAAATTAAGTATGCCCTTTTCCATCCTCCCTCATCCTCCAAGACAACCATACATCCCATTCTGTAAAGTATGAGTTTTATTTAAAATTTATTATTATGAAATCAAGATAAGAAAACATCCATTAACATCCCAAGTATTAGACTGCAATCCCTCAAATCAAGTCACAAAGAAGGCAGGACAGATCCCTAGATATTCTCCAAAAAATGGAGAGAAGGCAAAGTAAAGCAGAAAGTCATGTTGCAATCTTCTTTTTTTTTTCCACAAGAAACACGTACTTCTTAAAAAAACATTATGTCAGCATTCCTTTTCTTGTACTTCTATTGCTATACAAATGTCGCATACAGAAAAAACCCACCAGATTTTGGTGAATAACGAAACCTTAAGCCAGTTTAAGAATATTAGCAGAAGAATGTGGATCCTGTTTGGCCAACAAGAAACAGGCTGATTAGGTGAAGGATAAGTGAGTAAGAATTAGCAAATTTTGGCACATATTCACCACAGTTATCCCAGTATGTTAATTTTACTTCAGGCACAAGCCAGCTTCAGAGTTTGCAGATGTAGTAATGCTAGCCATTTAGTGATCACCAATCCTTAAATTCCTTGGAAAGAACCAAAAGATCAATTACAAGTCATCAAAACAGTCTTTGTACCTTTGGAATCTTGTAATTAAATAAATCATGATATCAGCTGAGTATTTCAAGCTTTTGGAGGTAGTAAGCTGTTTCACTCAGTACTTCCAATTCCATGCCTCCTCCATATTCAAGGTTTAAAGGCTATCTAGGACTTGCATCTTACAGCAGACCATCACCTCTGAAGGGAGATTTCCAAATCTTAAAGTATCAAACTCAAAAGGCTATTGCAAAAGTTGAAATGAACAGAAAGACAGAACTATTCATGAAAACTGCATCTTGAAGATCATATAGTCTGAAGGTACAGCAACCAAAAGCCAAGCTGAGATAAGTCTTGAAGGAGATTACAATAACCAGTTAAGACTCCTTAGAAACATGATGACAGAACATCGCAGAGAGCTAGCTAGGTAAGGAAGACTAGGTGTTGCTAACCTTGTCGGTTTTACCATAGAACTTAGCAGTAACAGAAGCAAGTGACCCACCAGGAACAGCACTGGTAAAAGCAAAACGACCAATAAAATCAAGCACATAGGAGCTGGAAGGTAGCACAACCAAGATGAAAACAGTTCTCAGTACATCAAGTCAGAAATGGTCGGAAAACCAGTTATTTAAATATTACAGAATTTAGTCAGAGACAGCCAAACTTGATACTTGGAAAAAACAGTTGCACTGGAGGGAGGTTACTAGTGGAGTCTCTACAAGATAAGACCATGGGATCAAGAATCATTAATGTAAATAAAATGTAATAACAAAACCTGCTGACAGACTACTGCTGGGACACTGAAAACAGAAGTTTATAATATCAAAGGAAGAACAGCATGGCCTTGCAGACTGGCAGAGAAAGAACAGAATGAAACTCAAAAATATTGTAAAAGATCATGTAACTTACAGACTAAACATTTGTCTAAGAGTTGATTGCTTGAAAATGTCTGAAGAGGAAGCCCCAAACATGCCATCATCCAAAATGATAAGGAGACACTATGGTTCCTCAGCATCAGCTGAGTAAGGTCTAAGGAAATTCCACCTGATGCACTGTGTACAATCCTGGTTATGCACATCCAGCAAGCAGTAAGTACTTCAAGGCAAGGCAAGTCACTCCAAGTACAAACGAACGAGTGCTGACGCTGAACAGTAGGGCTAACCAAAAGAAGACAAGGCATAATTTCTGAAGAGTTATATGGCTAGCTGGCAAAAAAAAAAGCTGAGTGAGGGTATGACTGCTGTCTATAGATACATATTGGAGGTAAACATGAAGGAAAGCCAAGAACTACTCAATCAAAAAAAAGTTGATGTGAGAGTTAGTAGATATAAAATGGCCATGATTAAATTTAGGCTGGAAGTTAGTAAGGATCCAAACAGCAGTCAGGCTCAGCTGACTGGCTCTTTCAAAAGTGGGAGAGAAAACCTGAAACACCTTCAAAACTGATTAAAATAAAATGCGTACAGAGGACTACATGACCTGGTGCCCAGGGAAGCAAGGAACTAGGATCCATAAGACTCCCTCTAGTTGCATGTTCTAAAATTTAAAGAACAGGTGTTTTTTAAATGAAATTTTTTTATTTAATAGATAATCACATGCACGTGTAAAAAGAAACGGCTAGAAACATCAGAAGAAAGAATGGATTTTGAGGACACATGAAAGATTATCGCAGAGCAGTCAGGGATCTTTAACACTAGGCTGAACACCACACTTTGGAAGAACAGCTCAGTGTCCAGAAGAGTGACCCGGCTCTTCAGCTGACTGCAAATACTTAGTCTGAAGGGCACCTGCAAGGTCCCCGGTCCTAAGTTCAGTCCTTTCCACAGCAGCCCCCCTACTCGGGGAGGGGAGAAAAGGCTAATAACCAGCCAACCCTTTCCACCTGAACCTGCTCACTCACTCGTGCTCGGCCACATCGGGCAGGTACGCTGCGTTTTCTTGCGAGGGGTGTGCCATAAAAACCACATCCAGGCCGTCAAACGCTCCAGCGTTTATCAGGTCTATTTTGCCTCCTCCTTGTTCTTCCGCAGGCGTCCCCAGCACCGTGATCTGCAGCACAAAGGCAGAGAGTCAGGGGCCGACCGGCCACAGGGGCCGACCGGCGACAGCCTCTGGACGGCGACGGGCGCCGGCTGCGGCAGGCTCTCCAGGGCGGCCTTCAGCCCCAGCGCGGCGGCGGCTCCCACCTCGGCGATGAGGTTGTGCCCGCAGGGGCGTGGCAAGCCGGGCAAAGCGTCGTACTCGCAGAGGAAGGCGATGCGGAGCGGGCGCGGGCCCTGGGGGGCGGCCGTGCCCCACTCGGCGCGGAAGGCCGTGCCCAGCTTGTAGCGCGGCTGCACGGCCCAGGCGGCGCCCGGCCGCTCCCCGCTGGAGAAGAAGCGGGTCATGGTGTCGTGCGCCTGTTGCTCCTCGTAGGCCAGCTCGGGCCGGCTCCAAATGTCGCGGCTCACA